GGAGGCTAACGGGTGTGCTCGCCAGGAACGGTGCATATCATATGGAAATATTGTTTACTTGTACTCTTATACGGGGTACATATTGGCCACGGAGGAAGACAACTTACCAGTACTGGCTTCAACTCACCTTCGGTGTCGGCTCATCCCGGTGCCCGCCCACACGCCTGGCCGCGCCCGGTCCCCATCTGGCACCGTTCCCCGCCCGGCAGACTGTCCGCTCCCCGGGAGCGGCCGCTCACACGTACGGAAAGTGAAGCATTATCTTGCTGGTGGTCGCCTGTACTATCTTCTATGGGCTATGTTTCGAGTGTTATACTCGAGTATACGTCATCAAGGGTGACATAATGTGTAATACCCCTGATTGGTTAAAACTTCTCATACCACGTTAATATAATAATTTATTCAAATGACAATTGCTGAGTCGACAGTGAGGGAAGTCCAGGAGATTGCATCATGCTGCCATATATAGAACGGTCAGCTGCGGTCAAGCCCTGACCTACTTGTGGGTATGTACCTTTTGCGTCAATGCCCTGTCATACATGTATATACTTTATTATATATCGGGGACAAGGCCCGAATAGTGGCAAGTGTAGTATCCAAGCAATCTACTATAAAGTGAGGCACGTTCTAAACTATATGTATATTGTCTTTGATCGGATCATGTGTCGTGGCCCTGGCCAGGAGTAAAAATGTTGGGGCCGTCACAACCGTGTGTACAATCAATAACAATGATTACCGTGTTTGCCAGCTGGTATAAACACACGGTGTAAAGTCAAGTTGTTGAAAACATCTTGTCACCACCTGAGAATTTAAGAACCCAACGTCACCACGACAACAACATCAACAGGCTGATGTTGCCAATATTTTCTTCCGCTATTTTTTAAACAAAGGAACGGGTAAGGGCTTTGAGTACCACTTACTGAATCCCCTCTTCCGTAGTTGGTCAGTCTTTTCAAAGTTTCTGTCATTCAAATTCATTGCCTTTTTCCTTTGGTGTCCGAAATGGAGCACAAACTGCTCAAATACACACGTACGTCAAAATGTCAAAGATTTCTTTCATTTGAAATATTTCAATTTTTGGTGCAGAAATGGTACATAATGCCCCTGTCAAAATAAGGGAAGAAAAATGGCTACTTCAGTCTGTTGATGCTGCATGTTCTGATGAAGACGTTGGACCCTTGAAATTCTCAGCTGGTGAGTTGCTGTTTCGACACCTTGACGCTCTTATAATTTGTTTGGTCTACAGGGAAACACTACCAGTCATAGTTTACACGGCGGCCACGACGCACATTTTTACCACTCGAAAGGCCACGACACAGCTGCCGACCGAGGCTATTTTAGTCTTTACCAGGCTTCGGGAAGCGGCTGGAAAAAGTATAGCGCCAAATAGAGCGAGCTGGGCCAAATAGAGAGATATGTGTAGCAAACTGCACACTACCTAACTTTCTTGTTTTTCCTTTGCAAAGAAAATTTTCTGTCAGCAAGAATGTTATTCTTTCAACAAGAATCTCCGTTTCAAGAAAATTCAAGAAACCCATGTTGTTCTTATTCTACAGCTAATTAACCAATATTTTAGTATAATTCTTGTGGCAAGCATTTCGGGTTCTTACACGAAGAATCTTTTAGCTTTTTTTAGTATCAGTTTCTTGAAACTCTTTCCTTAATAGCATTTCTTGTACCTAGAATACGGTTCTCATACCAAGATTGAAGCAGAACATACAATAAGCTTCTTGAAGCTGGAATAATATTCTCGCAATACGATTAAGTTTCTTGCAGCAGGATAAGTTTGAATGGGTTTTCCGATGTATGTTGTATGGGAGGAAAACCCTTTCTTTCCTAAAAAAAAATTCTTGCAGCAGCAAACCCCTCTCGCGAAACAACTCCACTGACATGTTATCTTTTTATTTGGTCAAATTCTACTCTTTCCAGACGCTTCCCGAAGCATAGTAGAGGCTTAGAATGCGCCAGAGTGAGCAAGCTGATAGCCTTTCAGCTCTTATGTCCACTTAAATCAGATGGTCGAATATTACACTCTTTTAATTCCCTCGGGTGATATGCACAACTATACACAGGTCAAACGTCAAAGGGGTCATGAAGAACTGTGACAGGGCCCGTAACACTTCGTATATACACGTACAATGGGTGGTTTATGATATACGCATTAGTTAGCCTGAGATACCGGTTTCAGTTACAAACTCTTCTTTGGCAATTTAACGTAGACATATTAAGTTCAAAACACTGCCTTTTTACAGAGCAATTCTTTATTGGCCGAACGTTTCTGCACACTAACGATTTGCGGTCTCTTTTTGGTGAATATTCACCCACAGAAATTCCGTGAGTTACTCTCACCGAGAAACACCGAACTTTCCAGTAATGGGACCGTGCCTCGCACGACCTCCATACCATTGAGTGGTTCTCAAAAATGGGTGTTGTGAACGTGTCGTCAATAAAGTGAAATCAAGGTGATGTGCCTTGTCACGATCTCAGGTCACGACGCTTTCCTAGATGGTTCTTCTGGAGTGCAAATTTCTCAAATCAAGGTATCACGATCTCAGGTCACGACGCTTTTTCTGGGATAGACAAACACTGAATAGCATTCAGAGCCCCCGCTATATAAAGAGCCCATTTCATCTTGTGTGACTATACCTACATTCAACGTCGTAGCACCTCCAGCAACGACCCACTTCGCCACAGGCATCCACCAGAACCCGACGCCCGATCGTCCACATATTAAACGTCTGAACACTACCGAGGTGAGTCGGTGAATCTGTACTTGTTTTTGATTCTCTCATTTTTTTCTTTATCTTTACTGCACTCAAAACTGACATAGCGCACGGCAAACGTATTTTGTTCTGCCGATTCTGCCGATCTGAAAAAGAGCTGACCAGTCTAAATTCTCAACAACCGATGCAGGTGTCGTCACATGATTTTGTTCTGCCGATCCGCAAAAGAACTGATCACTCCACAATCCTAAAAATCGACGGCGTCGGATTGGCACTGTATTTTAATCTGACGATCCGTAAAAGGACTATCAAATAGTCCACAATCCCAAGAACCGGTGCCTTAGGATTGATCGTATGGCGTCGTGTTTTGTTCTGCCGATATACGCGATCCGCAAAAAGATAGACGAGTTTGCAATCTCAACAACAACAACCGACGAAGGAATGAGTGCACGGCACCGTATTTTGATCCGACGATCTGCAAAAGTCCACAGCCGACGTCCCTTGAACCGACGCCGAAATATTGAGCGCACGGTGCCGTTCTTTGATCTGCAGATCCGCTAAAGAACTGACGAGTCCGCAAATTCGGTAACTGACGCAGGATTGAGGTAGCCCTCAGCGTTGTGTTTAATTTGCTGATCACCTAAAGTACTGATCACTCCAAAATATGATCAACCGATAATGGAATGAGCCCTTCCCGTGATAAATTTCATAAAATGGCTACTAAATTATCAAATTCTCAGATTGATTGACCGATCCCGAAGCCACGTCCCCTTAGCAACGCCCTAGCAACTCGAACACCTCGGGCGAAGTAGGTGCGGGAAGGGCTGCGCAGGCCGACGAAGAAGAAAAGCGAGAGCGGCGAGAATTGCGGGCCACCGGAGACACCCGAGACGGAGAGCACAACATCGAGAGGCTGATCTGTCCGTCGTTTGACGGGACCTTTTTCTTTGACGACCCTGACGTTCTCGTTTTCCCTAAACTCTTATCCAAGGTCTGCTCCACCCGTCTTGCCAACGCCTTATCTTCGCGGAGGTCCCGCACAGTTGTTGCCTGTTCCCCATCGCTCGCCTCTGACCTTCGCTAGTTCCTTAATTCAGCTCTTCTGCCGCAGCTTTTTCAGAGACCGCCGAGCCTTATCAACACGGCGCCTGTCCGCGTCGCTGCCCGAGGCCTCTGGCGATGACGGTAGGCCACGACGCATTTCCCGGGGCTACATAAGGACCAACGTGCCCTCTCATCGACAACCTGCAGACGGTTCAGGCTTTAGGTTTAGTTGTCGCGAAACCGAGAACGTAGATAAAGACAGAAAATAAGATTGAAAGTAGAGAGAACAGCAAGGCAACGTGCGCGCCCTCGCTTAGCTCCTGGCCGAGTGTCAGAGTTGAAGACGAGACCACATGTGGTAAGGCCGTGGGCTGAAGCGAAAGAGGGGCTAACAGGAAGACAGAGATGCCATGCGAAGAAAAAGACACTAGTACTC